AAACCCAAAAACAGAGGGAATGGAAGCAAATGTTGTTGAATGATGATGCCTGGAGGCGATTGTAATCATTGCAACAAAACGAAATACGATAGGATGAATGTAAAGCTGATGTTCTCCCATGTAAACTGTCACTCAATTCACAATAAAAACTTTAAAAAAAGAAGAACGAAAAACCAAAATAAATAAATAAAGTTTAACTTTTTTTGTTTTTTATTTTTTTATTAAAAAAAAAAACCTTTGAGTGTGTGGATTATAAAAAAAAAAAAAAATCTATGAATGATATTGCCATGAATGAGCATTCCAAAATACTTAATCGTGCTCAGGAGGAACATCTATATAGACTAAGAGACAGTCATTCAAGCAGAAAAAAAGGGATCTGAATCATTTAAAATCAGGAAGGGTGATTGCTAGGTTGTATCCATTCTCCATATTTATTCAATCTATATGCTGAGCAACTTATCTGAGAAGTTGAATTATATGTAGAAGAACATGACATGAGGATTAGAGGAAGGCTCATTAACAACCTGAGATTCTTATGACAAGACCTTGCATGCTCAAAGTGAGGAAGACTTGTAATACTTAATGATGAACTTCAAAGACGACAGCTTTCAATGTTAATTGCATCTCTGTCTCCATTGGGTTTTAGAAACTGTAAATTTTTATAGAAGCAGATAGCCTCATCTTTTTCCTGTGGAGCAGCTGCTGGTGTTGATCTGACACCCTTACAGGTAGCAGCCCAATGCTTAATCCACTGTGCCACCAGGGCTCCATAATTTAGGGACAGGATTAGCTAAATTGATGCACACTAGCCTTTTGCATAGCCAACATCTGTGCCTCACGGAAGTTGGTGCTTTTTTCCCTAGGACATCTATCCCTGTTGGAAGGAAATGAGATTTAAACTGAGGGAGAGAAGGTCTCTCATTCCAGTTTTAGAGCAGAGTTAAATTCCAACCTGTTAGAGTATTGCCCTCTTTTCCTAAGAGATTTTGTTCTAGGACCAATGATCTTCCAGCTCAAAAAATCAAAAGACTAATATATCTTACAAAAAGCCATAAATTTCCCACTTTTGGAAACAAAACTGCTTATTAAAGTGGACTTGTGTGCAATGAGAAGATGATTTTCTGTATTTGACAAAAGTTAATATTATAATATTGGTTCTTGGGTCTGTGAAAAATACTTTGTCAATCTTGGGCAACTTAATGTTTGCAACACAGTTTCTAGAAAGCAAAACCTAGAAATTAAAAGGTATTTGATAATGGCCCTGGAATTCATTTTCAGCTCTGAACAATAAAAGTGCAAAAAGGATTAATAATAATTAATATTTATAACACATCATAGAAATTGGAGAAGGCTGCTTTAGTTGTGTGCAAGCAGAGGCTGGATTATCTTTACTCAGATATACTAAAGGTTTCTAAATTAGATATAGAAAGAACTAGATGTCTTTTTAGGTAATTTAAAGTCGGAAAAAGTGGGAAATACATTTGTTCACATTGAAAGCCTTGAGCAGAAGGAAGGGTATCTTTTCTCATAGGAGCTGTTCTTCTACTGAACTGCTGTTGATGTTAGCTGCCATCAAGTCTATTCTGACTCAAAGCAACAAGATATGCAACAGAACAAAGCAGCCCTGTGCCATCTTCATAATAGTTGATATGTCTGAGCCCATTGAACTAGGACTGATGATAGGAATAGAAATAAAGCAATTACGAATTAGGATGGAATTACTATTGTCTTAGATTGACTACTTTGAATTATGCATTCTCCTGAATGTCAGACTGTCTCCAAGTCACTCCTTCTCCTTAGACTGATATGGGCACTGCTTGTAACTGTCATCACAACTCTCTGTGTTCTTTTTAATATTAATTTAATATTAATTTCTTTTTAATATTCATTCAACTGTACTCTCAGTCAACCAAGTGTGCTCATCAGTTGGTCCAAGAGCTGAGCTTAGATAGCCTCCGGATAGTCTGCAGAATCATATACCAAGAATTCTGACATTCAGAGGAGGAGGAGACCTTATTCCTGTTCTCTGTACACTCTTACTCTAATGGGATAATTAGAGTAAAGGAAGATATTGGTCCTGAAGTAAGTCCTGGGACAATCAATGTGGGAAATTATTGTTGAGGATTCTAGTAGTATGTAGTAAGGTTGAGAAGTAGCAACAACAAAGGTATAAATGGTCATTCCTGAGCTTCATTTCAAAGGTTAAGAATTTCCTTTGGAAAAGAATCAATAAGCAGGGTTGAGAGAGGAGAGGACAAAACTGGATGCAATGCCTAAGAGGATTGAAACAAAAACACTAAACTAAGGAAGGTGTAGAGGAAGCAAAACAATGCAAAGACTGGGAGTAATGCCTCTATAAGGATCATTACATGTAATGACAAAAAAAAAGTGAATTTTGTGGACTGTGACATCATTATTAATAATAGCAATAATACAAGGGTAAATAAAAAAATATTGATATTAGGAAAATTTGCCTCACATTTTGATATTTCTGTTTAATAAAGTGTTCTATCATTTTGTAGCAATACTTTTCAATTTACCTATGTACTTCATTAGATGCCAAATTCAAAGGTCTCTAAAATCCGAGATAACTGCTGTGATGGTCATTCATGAATCCTTGGCACACAGTACCTGATGGGGTAGTTGTCCAGCCTTTTTCTTTTTTTTTAATTTTGAAAACTGAAGGAGTAAACCCTTTCACAACTTTCTGTAAAATAACTGATGATCACACTTTATTTACTTAATTACACATTTCCTTTGGAACATTTCTTAGATTCAATGATTGGCTTAGGATGAAAATTCTGTGCCCTATACACAAGGTCACAACAATGCAAAGATCCTGATGATGGGATCAAATACAATTACATTTCTGTCTTGAAATTTTTTATAGTCATCTCTGTGTACTTGGACAATGAAAGCTATGTGTTTTTTGTTTCTCATCTGAAAACAAAAAGTATTACTATTTATGTCAGAAGTGTTATGAAAATAACAAACACTGTTCAAAACGTTAGCTCTTGGCAACTTGGACTATGGCTATCAAAATTAGGGTGATATGAAGGAATGAAGTGACTGGCATACAAGCTTTCATGAGGGTAATTAGAGTCAGAACAAGGCAGGTAAGATAGAATCCCCACAGAACAGTTTTCCTCTTGACCAGATGGGTCTGGTGATGATGGGGATAGGATTTTGTGATTCAATTTGAGTAAGCGTTATCAGGACTAATGGTGATTGTCAGAACTGTAAAAGTAGAAGAGGTATGACCAAAAGGGTGAAGCAGTTAATATGTAATTTCAGGAACAGAGGACCCTAGGATCATCAAGAAGTAGAACAAAAGAGGAGCAAGGAATCTTAACCAGAAAAGTGGAGACAACAGAGATGGTGGCAGAGGCAATGGCATAGAGAGACAGAGCAGCAAAGGACTATAGGCTCAGGGACTGAGAAAGGCAGTGTGCCTCTGGGCAGGAGACTGGCTGGCAAAATATGCCCTTTGGACATTTTAACGAATATATATTTTCAATGTAGTATGTGCACATAAAAAAAGGGAGGGGGAGAATAGAGGTAAATACTGTTAACTGATGGTGCATGGAGGGGATTGTAAGCATTGTAATGATTGGCTGAATATAAAACTGATGATCTTCCCTCTAGACCTTCACTCACTTCACAATAAAAACTTAAAAACAAAAAATAAAAAACTAAAGCTATAAACAAGAATGAAGCTAAATAAAAGTAATTTAAGTTTAAAAAATGTTAGCTTTTATGAATTTCAAAAAGCTCTAAGACTGGAAATGATCTTGTTGATCATCTAATTCTGTTCATACCAAACATGCGTCATTATTAGAATTGTCGAGGAAATATCTGAAAAGTGCATTTTCCTAATTTTTAGACTCAGGTTTTTTTACTCATAAATTCTGATGATCAATTAGTATAGGGAAGTGCTGATCTAATCCAACTCCATCATTTGACAGATGAGCAAACGGAAGATCCAAATTAATTGGATCTTTCAAAATGGCACAGTTTAGTGGCAGAAAAGATGTGAAATTTAGTAATTGAAACACCTAGTTCAGTAGTCTTTCCATGATACCACAGACACCTGTGTACTGGGATTTTTGCAGTAGATTGAGCTAGTGATGCCCACATCTCCTCAAGGGCTGATAAGGTTTCATACATTTTTGGAGAAATAAAATTGCAAAAAATAGTTTATTGAAAACCAAATAGAATACACAAAGTGATATATTTATTATGGACAGGGAATGAAATAGAGTACTTGAGTTTACATCCAGCTCTATCACTCACTAACCTAGGTAAGTCATTACATTTCTTTGGACTTCAGTTTTGACATTTAAATAATGGCATTTGCTGACTTAGGATATTTATAATTTTGAGTGTTATCATATATGTGAGTATATATTAAATGGTAAGTTATTAGAGAAATATAGTAGAACTATTACTGGTTTGTTTTGTATAATTTCCTTTGGTCCTAGAACTATCACATGTAATTTTTATCATTCGTGTATGGTTGCTGAATTGAATTTATGAACTAAATAGGACACATGTGAGGAGAGTCTTTATTAGCTAGGATGTTGAATGATAGAGGGATTTATTGCTGAATTAGGGAAATTTAGCTATAGTAATTTTCAGAATTGTTATGTTCTTCATAGATTTTTCCTCTGCCTTGCTCTACGTACCTGCCAGCATATGGGTCCATAGAAGACAAGGACAGAAACCAAGCTTGTGGTAAGTAAGGAGAAAGTCAAGCTGTGATATAAAGCAGAGGTAGCCACAGATACTGCATTTAGTTTTCACAGCATAATGGTATAACCATTGATGTTAAGAGACTATCTAGCTACCAATGATCTAGACACAGTTGTTTTTCATGCTTGTTAATGATAATAAAGGAAGGATTTATGCCAATAGTAAAAAAGAGCACAGTCATAAACAAGACATTGAACAGTAAACATCTAAATTCCCAGCAGGCACTTCAGAGTTTCCTGGATCTTGATCTATCTATTTGACCCATTACCCCTTTTCTGTGAGTAGAAAAACCTCCCAATGGCATCTTTCATGTCCTTGTTTCTGAGACTGTAGATGAGAGGGTTGAGGAAAGGAGCAAGGACTACAAAAGTGACAGCAATTACTGTGTCCCAGAACACTGAGTAAGTGGCTGAGAATCTCAAATACATGACAGCCACACTGCCAAAGAACAACAAGAACACAGCAAGATGGGCGCCACAGGTAGAAAAGGCCTTGTGACGACCCTCTGCTGAGGGCATCCCCATAATTACCACAATGATTCGAATGTAAGATAGAGCAATGACAAGGAAGGAGGCCAGGATCTCCGCTGCGTGAATGGCATCCACAATGACCACGAGCGATGTATCTGTGCAGGCCAATCTTAGCACAGGTGTGAAGTCACAGAAAATCTGCTGGATCTGGTTGGAGCCACAGAAAGGCAAGGTGGCAATCCACACGATCTCAGGGAGCACAATGAAGAAGCCACAGAGGCAGGAGCCAGCTGTAAGCTGAATACACAATTTTGGAGTCATAATGGTCGGATAACGAAGAGGATTGCAGATAGCTATGTATCTGTCAATAGCCATTGATGTCAGGATACAGCCTTCTGTGATGCCAAGAGAGTGGAAGAAGTACATCTGCAGGAGGCAGCCAGCTAGAGAGATGGTCTTCTGCTCACTGACTAGGTTGGAGAGCATCTTTGGGATAGTGGTTGTCGTATACCAGATCTCCAAGAAAGAGAGGACACTGATGAAGAAATACATTGGTGTATGAAGTGCCATGTCAAGTTGGATGACAATGAATATCATTAGGTTCCCAATTATGATAAATGCATAGATGAAAAGCAAGGGAATAAAGAATAAGAGACCACCTTCATGCATTTGTGGGAAAATAGAAAAAAAGAACTCAGTCACCATGGTCTGATTCTCATGGACCATCAGTTGTGTCATCTAAGAAGGGCAAAAGGAGAGAAATAATTATTGGTATTAAAATCCTGGTAACACATTTCAAATGGCTTCATTCCTTTCTATAATTAGTTACCTAAACTGATCTGGGCTCTAAAGAGGCCAGTTAGAAATATCTTTCAAGTTGTATTTTGAGGCCAGAAACATCTGAAATATTTGCTTTTCTACCTGCATTTTAGCCATCACCTCCAATTAGTACCAAGAAACCACAAAGCAAATGAAATTTTCTCAAATATATTTTCTGGAGATTCACTCACTTTTTAAAGTTTTTCTCATCCCTAGTTTTTATCTGGTAGTGTAGTTGTTATGCTAACCTCAAGGTTGGCAGTTTGGAACTACCAACCGTTCCATGGGAGAAAGATGAAGCTTTCTGCTCCCATAAAGATTTATAGCCTTGGAAACCCTGTGCAGGGTCACTATGAGTCGGAACTGACTCCACGGTACTTAACAACAACAACAACATGATTACCCTTAAAATATGCACCTCTTTTTCCAACCATTTTAAACTCTGAACCTTGAGAAAAAAATATTAATAAAAATATAAAGATCATCTCATGAGCCCTTCTTTCAAAACTTTTTCATCTTGCTCTTCTCCACAGCTTCCAGCCTAGGTATCAAAACTGAGACTGACTACAGTACACATTTATCTTTCTGCCTTATTTCTGTTCATTTCCTCATAGCATATCTATATCTCATTAGTTACCTAAGCTGATCTGGATTCTAAAGAGACGAGTTAAAAAATATCTTTCAAGCTGTCCTTCTATGCCTGAAACGTCCAAAATACTTTTTAACATCATTTGTTGCTGGTATTATTACCTCTACAGACTGCCAATCACAAGGTTGGCAGTTCAAACCCACCAGCTGCTCCTTAGAAACCCTACACAGGGTCACAATGAGTCAGAGTGGATTTGATGGCACTTAATAACAACAACTGGTGTGATGCTGTGGGTTAACACTCCAGACTGTAAAACCATTTGAACTGCAAGGTTGGCAGTTTGAGCTCACCAGCTGCTCCTCAGAAACCTTATGCAGGGTCTCTATGGGTCTGAACCTTCTCGATGGCACATAATAACAACGTTTGCCTTAACAAGGAATTCAACAGATATGAACATGGCTAAGAATGCTTTTTAATAATCCTTTATTTTCAAAAACATTGAAAGACAAAGTCCAAGGTCATATCATTTTATTGGTTGTTTTCTCATATTTGACTCTAATAAAAATTAAGTGCCAAATATCCCTTTTCATTCTCAATAGCTCAGTCAGATAGGACCAGCCAACCTTGTGGCTCAAACTGACCTTGTGGTCTGGCACATCTTGGTAACTATCCAGACTAAGAGTTTCCCCCAAATCATCTTGCACTTGATTACTAGTCACTGACCTGTGGAAAAGTACATAATTCCACCCTCCACACTCCACCCCTCTTACCAAGGCAATATCTAAGATTCAAGGGAAGGATGTTATTGTCAATAAAAACCCCATACTCTAATAACTATTGCTATCTTGGGGAAGAATGATCACAAAGTTCAGCTGTTGTTTATTGTCTGAAATCAGACAAGTCTATTTACTTGAAGAAAGGACACTTTCTATTTTAGGTCAAGGCTAATTAAAGTTAATGATAGCAGTGTAAATTACTTCTGCCCATGACTATTTTAGCATTGTTTTTTGCTGATGCTATTATCTCTAACAAGGAATCAAACAGAGGAACACGACTAAGCATGGCTTTTAACACTCCTTTTGTTTTAAAACACTGAAAGACAAAAGTCCAAGGTCATATCATTATATTTATTGTTCGCTCAAACTTGACTCCAATCAAAATTAAGAGCCAAATATCCTTTTTCATTCTTAGCAATGCAGTCAGATAAGATCTGTTTCCTGCATTTTTATCTTTTGCTTAAGCCACTTATCTTTTTCACTGCCTTGATCTTCCAACTGGAATCCCAGTCATCAATGTCTAATACGTGTCCTCATCTTTGTGGAAGTCTCACTGATCCACATGCCAGAAGTAATCACTGTTTCCTCTTGATTCTATCAGTGCCTCATCTGTTCCTTTTTATGATGAATGAATCTTTACTTGAATTTTAAATATTTGCATTGCAGCATTGTCTCCTCAAATACAAGTAAAAGCTCCTCAAAATAAATTATATACATAGGGGGAAATGAAATAGTATAATCAATCATTATATTATTACGTATATGACATGAGATGCTTCACATATTTTACCTCATTTATTTCTGACTGTAATATTTCTACTTAGAATAGAATACTATTGCTATTGTTAGATAGATAAGAAAATTGAGAACCACATACGAAAAATGACTTGTCCAAATTTGATTGGCTAGGTTCCTAAACCTTTATTACTAGAATCCAGGTCTGTTTGCCTTAGTTGTTGTTGTTAGTGCTCTCTAGTTAGTTCTGGCTCATAGCAACCCTGTACAGGGTTTCCGAGAAACGGCTGGTGAGTTTGAACTGCTAACCTTGCAGTTCAAACTGACCTTGAGGTTGAGTGCTTATCCTAGTTCATTACTTTTCAGTATGCCCTTGGGAAATTTGGTCAGGTTTCATCAGGCATGTTATTTGTTTCCTAGTTTAAATATCACTATATATTTAGGACTGCACAGCATGTGAAGTGAGAGATGGGTTTTCACAGAAACTAACTGATATGGTTTCTCCAAGAGATACCTGATCTCACAGGGCAGAGCAAGGCAATGCAGAGGTTATATCTAGATTCAAATTCATACCTTGCTAGTTAGACAAATTAGTTTATACAGAATGCCTCTCTCCTTGTGCATCCATGTTCAAGAGTGAGGGACACAGCAACAGGGATCAGCAAAAGGGTAGAACCTCCAATGAGAAAGGTTGTTCTGAATTGTTCCCTTACGAAAATAGCCATTCTTCTGTCCTTTATGGATTTAGCATTTCTCAGCCTAATGCATCAGAGAATGGCCATTCTGAGTAGTCATTATGGAGAGCATTGATGGGAGAAGGCAGGGACCTGATAAAACAAGAGAAAAGGTAGGAATATGAAGTGTGAAGTGGTTCATAAAAGCCAAACAGGCTGACTACTTTATTGCTCTGAGCTTGGGGTCCTTTTCATTAGACTGATGTCATGATTCATCATGCATACATTTATTTAACTAACACTCATGTATTGATTGATTGTCTGCTACATTAGAGACACTGCATAAGTTCAAGGATTAGATAAAGGTGGGTAAAAAAAAAACCTCAACAAAACCAACACATTGTTTCTGTTTCTGAAAAACAGACAGATCAAAAATTGCAGAGGGTGACAGATAACTAGTAGTATCCAAGGAGCTTTGTTGTTGTTGTTGTTGTTAAGTGCCATCGAGTCGGTTTCGACCCATAGCGACCCTGTACAGGGTTTCCGAGGGTGTAAATCTTTACGGGAGTAGAAAGCCTGATCTTTCTCCCGCGGAGCAGCTGGTAGTTTCGAACCGCTGACCTTAAGGTTCGCAGCCCAATTCGTAACCGCTACGCTACCAGAGGAAAGAAACTTTAATTAGATTTTGGTTTTGGACAAAAGAGTAACTTTCTGTGTAACCTTTCCCTTTTCCACCATTACAGAAATCCACAATTCTTTGTGTTTAGGCAGAATTTTAGTGCTGAAAAGACATATTTTATCTAATATATCTTCTAGATTTCTTATCTCATTTTAATTTTTTCAGTCATGTAATAAAGATCTTAAACATAGGATTTTATCCTATCTATTGATTATATTTTAACAAATTCTAAATATATGAAGTTTTATTTAATCTATTGAGGACATTCTACTTCGAAAGCCCAGGACAATAGCTGGTTACAAAAGAATTAGGAAAGTAAGGAAAGTATTGCAGTGGTACAGTAGAAGAAAAAGGAAAATAAAAGGTCTCGATTAGATGATGGACTTTCTCACAAAAGTCTTGAGTACTTACCACTGCCTGAGACATCAAGAACTGCTTCTCATAATCACCACAGATACCTCCTCTTTTTCCTAATCTGTTGATGAAGATATAGATGTTTCTAAAGCCACTTCAGGGAATAACCCTAATAGAGTTAGTATCTTCTTTGGGAGTTTCTTCGTAGATGATGCAGGAACTAAAGGAAAATAGCACATCTCTCTCCCCTCTAAGGGGCAAATTATAGTAAAAGTGTCACATAGTAATCACATATTCCCTAGGGTCAGGTCTCAAAAGGTTTCTGGTGACTAGATAACCTTGTCTTTCATAAAAGAATATGGAGTTGGGCACTAAGACCCAGAATAGCTGTGGAAGTCAGAATAGACTTCAGTCAGGATCACACTTCTCTGACGTACACAACTAGTAAAAATTGATTTCTTATTGCCCTTTCATGCATTTAGTACCATGATTTCCATTCCACCTGTTAATAATAATGATAATAATAATAATAACAAATGTCTACATAGTGTCTGGAGAGCCTTCATGTCTATTAAATAAGCTCTAGGAGAACAAACAAGATGGCAGATCAGGTAGAAGTGAAGTGAGAAGTTCCGTCAGCAACAACACAGAAAATTGGACCAAGCAGACTCGGGATGGTGCCAGAACTCTGAACCACATATAAAGGAATATTTAGAAGGATGGAAGGCTTATAGCTAGGGGAATTTGTAGCAGAAGTAAGAAATCCATTACTTAATATGCCTTAAAAAACAGAAACAGAGGGCCATATCAGCACATGTCCAGAAACAAGATAAAATGTCTGAGACAAATGAGCTGGGAGTAGACCTGCACTCTATACTGTAAGATAGGCAGGCTTTGGAAAGGCCTGAGAAGGAATTCAGAAAAATGACTATAAAACGTATCAAAACACTATATAATGGAGTTGAGAAAAATAAGGAAGAAGTCAGGAAAGTGGAACAATCAAATAAGATAGATACAGCATTGGAAACAATTCAAAACCTACAGAAAGAGGTCCAAATGATTAATAATAGAATATTAGAAGTGGACAATACACTGAAATGGCAAAGGAGTAG